ACTTCTACCTTTACAGTTGTGACAGTCGCAGTTAGTCATGATAACAATTACTACTGAATCATAAGAATCTTATCCCCATCTCTTTCCACCAGACCCATCTAGACAAGATGGAAACTATTCAGTGGGGATTCTACCTCCCTCTACACACTCTTAAACTAAACTCTTTCTTGAATACTTGTAAGCCAGTCACTTCATACCTTTATCACCCCCTCATTTTAAGAAGCCAATGTCTAAGTTGCCCATCCCTATGTACCCTGTATACAGAGGGTATAGAATTGATACTTGATGTGAATACTCCTTCCCTCTCTGTTGGTATTTTGAGCTACTACATACATAAGTATAGGTCAAGTTCATAAAATTATAGCAATTTATACTCATTTCCTTTATCAAAAATTGTTTTGTTTTTACCTTCCTCTAGTCAACTTCTAATTATCAAGCCATCAAGACTAGGTCAAATGGGTACTATCTTCAAGGTTGGGAGTTCTTGTGCATCTCCCCTAACTTCATATCAGCTAGATGCTTCACTCTCAGCTCTAGCCCTCTGTGGCTATGTTCACATTCTTCCCTTTTAATGGTCCCTAGGGCCCTCTGTTCCTGAGATGAAAATAACTGCTCCCCCTTTTAGTTACACCTCTTCTACATTTACAGTTGTGACAATCACCATTAGATTTGAAAATAAGTACTCGCAATTGTATCATAAAGTTTTATCCCCCTCATTACCAGACCTATCTGGACAGTAGGGAAATTATTCAGTTGGATTTCTGTCTTACTCCCTGTATTCTGACACTAAGCACCATCATGAAAGCTTGTAAGCCAGTCACTTTGTGCCTTTTGTAACTGAAGTGTAAGTTACCCATCCCTATCAGCTCAGTGTACTGAGGAGACATGCTTTATCCTTGATATGGAGAATCATTTCCTATTTGGTTGGAATTTTGAGTAGCCTCATCCATAATCAAGGGTCCAGTTGATCAGGTTGTAGCATTTTACGTTTGCTCCCTGTATATATGATAGTCTTTTGATGACCATAAATATTGAACTTTTAAGAGATTCCAGTTATTTATTTTGTTTTCTGTTGCTCATGTGTTTGTTGTTCTGGTTGATAATATATCATTGAAAAAAAATGAGATCTCAAAGCTAGGTTCTTACCTTTTCTTCCAAGAACGTCATAGTTTTAGATTTCACATTTAGGTCTTTGATTCATTTTGCATTAGTCTTTTGTATGGTATAAGGTATGGCTCTTACTTTATTTTTTTGGATGTGGATATCCAGTTTGGCCAGCACCATATATTGAAGCGACTGTTCTTCCATATTGAATGGATTTAATACCTTTGTCAAAAACCAATTGATCAGAGATGTTTAGATTAATTTTTGGTGTATGTATTTATTTCTGGTGATTTAGTTCTATCCCATTGTTCTATATGTCTATCATTAAACCAGTATTAAGCTGTTTTGGTTACTGTAGGTGGGTAATATATTTTGAAATCAGAAAGTATGAGAATTCCTACTTTGTTCTTCAAAATTGCATTGGCTATGTGGAGTCTCTTGTCCCTCCAGATAAAATTGAAGATTTGTTTTTCTGTTGTTTCTAATATCTTTAGATGAATGTTTACCTCATTTATTTTCAGCCTTTCTTCTATTCAAACATAAGTTTCTAAGGCTATAGTTTTTCCTTAGAGAATTGTTTTGTCTACACAAGTAGGGATGTAAAGTATTCTCATTGCCATTAATAACTAACATTAAATTTTCTATTATCATTTCTTCTTTGACCCACCCTGGGTTATTTAAAAAAATGTTTAATATTTTTCTAATGTGTTTTTGGAGGCCTGGTATGGTGCTATAGGATAAGCATTGGATGACTAACAGCAAGGTCAGTGGTTCAAACCCACTAGCTGCTCCTTGGAAACCCTATACAGGATCACTATGAGTCGGAACCAACTTGACAGCACTTAACAATAACAATGTGCTTTTAGGTTATCTTTTTATTGATGATTTCTATTAAATGCATTATGATCCAAAAATGGGTTTGCATATACAGATTCTTTGACGTTTGTTGATACTACTTTATTGCCTAATATAGGGAAAATAGTAATTTTTAAATAAATGTCCCTATATATGCTTGAAATGAATGTCTATTTTCTAGTTGTTAAGTGTACTTTTATTAAGTACATTATGTTCTATAAGATCTTATAAGATCCAATTTAAAAATATGCCATTCATATTTTCTATTTGGTTCTGATTTTTGTCTGTTTGATCTATCAGGTACATATAAGTTTAGAATTGTTATTGTCTTTCTGATGACTTGACCTTTTATCACTATGGGATGAGCATTTATTTTATCTGGTAACAGTATTACCAAGCTAGATTTTTTTTTTGATAATGTGTTTACTTGGTATTTTTTTTTTTTTTTTTTTTTAATGTTTGGATTTTCAACTTTCCTGTGTCTTGTACTTTAAGGTGTATCTCTTATAAATAGCAACATAGCTGTATGGCTGTTTTTTTTCTCCTCATGCCTTAATGATTTTTAATTACAGAGTTTGGTCCATTTACATTGATTATGTTTGAATCTATTTTTGTTTTCTTACTTTTGTTTCTTGGCATCTCTTATTTTTATTTTCCTTTCTAACAGTTTCCCCTAGCTTTTCTTTCTTTCTTTTTAAGGAGAAAATTTAAAAGGTTACAAAGCATAAAAAATAACATAGGAAATATCCATATGTCTCCTATCCAGAGTAAACAAATATTAAGAATTCTGTCATAAAATGTTATAAAGTTGATATTTATTAGGATCCCCAGTCCTGTTTCCCCCTCTCCTTCCTAGGGGGCTAGCACTACCATGAATTTGGTGTATATTCTTTTCATCTATATCTTTATACTTTTGCCCTATGTATTTGGATCTATAAATAATACATAGTATTGTTTTGTATAATTTAGAAATAATAAAATTTTAATATTGTATGAATTGTTGGGCAGCTTCCTATTTTAACTAATCTTATTGTTTAACAATCTAGCCATGTTGACACATATAAACCCTCTGTGGTGGAGTTGTTTCCAATTCATAGGAACGTATAGGAGAAAGCAGAACTGCCCCATAGGGTTTCCAAATGTATAAATCTTTAGCAGCAGAGTGCCACATCTTTTTCCTGAAGAGCAGCTGGTGGGTTCAAACCACTGCCCTTTTGATTAGAAGCTGCGAACTTAACCACTGTTCCACCAAGGCTCCTTATTGACATGTGTAGATAAAGCTTGTTCATTCAACCTGCTGATTAGTACCACTATGATCACACTGCAATTTACTCACTTCTCTGTTGTTGGTGTTGTTTGATGTTAAGTGCTGTGGAGTCAGTTCCAGCTCATAGCGACCCTGTATAGGGTTTCTGAGGAGCAGCTGGTGGGTTTGAACTGCCTACCTTGTGGTTCGCAGTTGGTGCTGATCCTGCAGTGCCATATCAGGTCTTTTTCATTTTTCATATTCACAGTTAAGGATTATTGAAAACATTTTACTATATGCCAAGTACTGTGCAAGCCTTCACATTTTTTTATGTGTGTGGTAAAATATATATAACAAAACATTTTCTGTTTTCCACATTTTTAATTACACAATTCAGTGACATTAATTACATTCATAGTGGTGGTTGTGCAATCATCACCCCAAACAGAAACTCAGTATCCCTTAAGCAATAATTTCCTATTCCGCCTCCTCCCAACTAGTAGTCACTAGTCAACTTGCATTTGCCCGTTCTAGGTAGTTCATTGAAGTGGAATCACAGTATTTGTCCTCTTGTGTCTGACTTACTTCACTCAGCATAATGAAGGATTTTTTTCTTTCTTTCTTTCTTTCTTAATTTCAAACAGTGGTGCAATGGATATCCTTTCATTTGTATCTTGTGCAACATGTCTCCAGGACACATACTTAGAAGTGGTATTACTAGGTCTGAGGTCAGAGGATATGCATTCTTAATAGCTTGTTTAATACAATGGCTAAACATTTGGCTGCTAACAGAATGGTTTAAACCCATCCATTAGCTCTACGTGAGAAAGACTTGACCATCTGCTTCCATAGGTTTGCTTTCATAACCAAGAAAACCCTACAGGGTAGTTTTACTCTCAAATGGGGTTGTTAGGAGTTGACCAGTGGCATCCAAAAACAACAGTCTTTGTTGCTCAAAATATTTTTAAGTAAATCAAAAGATAGAGACCTCATGGTCTGGCAACGTCTTGCGTATGGGGTCCCCAGCCGGTCTCCTCCCTCCCTGCCTTCTTCGGATGGCGGCTGCTTATGCTGGACGTGTGGCCAGAGACGGGTAAGGATCATGTGGAACCTTGGCAACCTAAGACAGAGCCATTGCCATGCTGCAATGAGTTTCGATGTCAGGTAAGACTGAGGAATTC